TGTCTGGGAGGACATTTTAATCTTGGAACCAGTGGGATTAAATTATATCCTGCCGATCAGTGAGTTTGTGCCAAGTCTCTCTGTCTGGGAGGACATTTCAATCTTGGAACCAGTGGGGTCAAACTGTATCCTGCTGATCAGTGAGTTGGTGCCAAGTCTCTCTGTCTGGGAGGACATTTCAATCTTGGAACCAGTGGGATCAAACTGTATCCTGCTGATCAGTGAGTTGGTGCCAAGTCTCTCTGTCTGGGAGGACATTTCAATCTTGGAACCAGTGGGGTCAAACTGTATCCTGCTGATCAGTGAGTTGGTGCCAAGTCTCTCTGTCTGGGAGGACATTTCAATCTTGGAACCAGTGGGGTCAAACTGTATCCTGCCGATCAGTGAGTTGGTGCCAAGTCTCTCTGTCTGGGAGGACATTTCAATCTTGGATCCAGTGGGGTCAAACTGTATCCTGCTGATCAGTGAGTTGATGCCAAGTCTCTCTGTCTGGGAGGACATTTCAATCTTGGTTCCAGTGGGGTCAAACTGTAGAGTGCTGGTTATCATTCATTGGCTGTTTAACGCTGGCGTAGTCCAGGTGTATGAATGAATGAAGTCTGGACCAGACAAACCAGTGATGAATATCATGAACAACATCCCACACTTTGACTTGCACTCAACCAAGTCACTGAGTCAGACCACTGCTCCATGTACTTGCCTCATAGGCCCTAGGTAGCTGGGGAGGTGGTCCAGCTCCGAAGAAGGACTTGAGATTTCTCCCAAAGACTGTCATTGTTTGGCACAACTTGGAAGCGTCATTTGTGTAGTTTCTAATGCTGTAAATGCAAAATGTGAAATAATGACATCTTTCCAGAACAGTATTCAGCTCTTCATGCCAGCGAGGCACTTTGCTTCTGTTAATTACGTGCCTCCTCTGAGATAATGTTTTAAGCCCCAGATTGCCTTGCAGTTGTGAACATTATCTTCCTGTACTCCTCGGTGACCATACTGATACTCTGGCATGAGTGAACAATGAGAAGGATGAGGCGAGGAGATTGTGCGTTAGCCAGGCAGCGACACAAAAATACTTCTCGGTTTGAATAACATACTTGTGAGATATATACTACTCAAAAGAAGTTAAAGAACATCAGACTTTTTCATATGACTATAGTTAATCAGTCATGTGCATGTGAAAAAATCGGATGTTCTTTTGGGTGTTTCTTTTGAGGAGTACATTTTATGTGTATTACCCTTGTGAGGGAAAGTTGTGTTCCGACACAGTCATCAATATTCCAGCTAAATCACGGCTTTTTATCACGACAAGGCAGACTAGTGCTTGGCATCATGAACCAGAATACATACCCATGACATATAGATGATAGCCAGGTCATACATTGTACTTGGGACATTTTGACCTAGAAAAACAACTGGGGAATTATCAACAATATTGAGTTGCCAATGTGATACATTGTAAACATGGACTTGTCTGTCATGCACACAGTTTTATTGCTTACACTTTGTATTAAAAACCCAAACAGAATCCATTTACTGAATCAGAATTATTTGTTGTAATTTTGGGTGGCCCAGTTGCCTTAGGCTCTGCAGTTCACTTCACAGTTTTTGCTTCCCTTAGATCTGCTAAAAGCATGATGGTGGGTTTGAAACCCATGCTGATCTGCTGAAGCGGACAGGTTTCGGAGTAACTGAAATACTGTTGAAAGTTGCATAACACTGAACTCACTCAGTCGTAATAGTAATGTGTTATACAGTATTTATCTCAACGGTGTAACTGAAATACTGTTGAAAGTTGCATAACACTGAACTCACTGTCGTAATAGTAATGTGTTATACAGTATTTATCTCAACTTGGGGGTGATATGTATTGTATCACACATCTTTCAAACAGTTACACTACTGGTCTTTGAAAGGCATTTATAAGTGATTCACATAAGGAAGAGAATAAATGGATGTCAACTTCCACGATAATAAAAAAATGACCCTCATAAAAATGAAGTTGACATCCATATATTCTCTTCCTTAGTTACACTACTGTTTTCAATCAGTCATACTCTACATGTGAGAGGGTGTGGCTTGTCTCTCTTTATACCTCAAAGGTGCAAGTGCCTTTGTGCATGAGGCAACACAACCTGCTTGCTACATTAAACTGACATACAAGTGTCACACAGGTGGCGGGACTCTTTCATAAACCTTGTGTACTTTATCACTGTGACCTACATTCAATAATGTGAGCAGACCGAGTGTGTACACTGTGAGAGAGGAGAGTTAACGTAAGCCAGTTTGTTTAGGACACCCTGTTACAGAAGAGCTAGGGGAAGATGGAAGATTCACAGTGGATCTTGGGGAGGTGGGAAGGGGGAACACTAGCTCTGTGTACAGATCATCTATGTTGTCAATCATCTATGACTCATTGATTATGTGTTCAGAGATAAGGCATATTTTAAAGGTCTGATGTTATTTTTAGAATTGGTTACATAATAATGAGTCTGTATCACAGTTGTTGATTGTGATGTTGTGAATGACTGGTTTACTTTAATTCTCATGATTTATGTATTTTCGTTCTTTTTATAATTTTAAGGTGTAACACTTCAACACAGTATCATATCAGTGTGAATACAGAACAGATATTCTACTTTCATGAACGTTAAAATGATGACTTTTATCGACTGAATTCCACACGTCTCTACAGTTTCAAGAGCGTTGTCATTTGCGTGACATAGTTTGTAATCAGTTACAGGAAAGCGTAAGACACTGGTTCCAGTACAGAACTGAATTTGTTTCATTTTTTATGCATTTATTCATTAAGAGATGATGAGTTTTCAGTGAAGATATGGTTATTTTGATTTGAAACCTCTGATCGACCAATCTGTTTTCTAAGTCATTGAATTTTTATAAGGTTGAAAAGAAAAGTGATGGAATGTTACCTTCAATAATTGTCATAAGGACTTAAACTTAGATTAGTACTCCTCAGGAAAGTAGGATCCCTAAGAAGCATCCCCTACAGAGGTAAAGAGAGCACATGAACTTCTGCATATTTTATCATATAGAATTAAAGGATATAGCGAATTTACGGAGCACCTTTAGAATACAGTACCACAACTTCTCGTGAGGACAATCTCAGCCGTAGGTCACATGTCTCAAAGACAAGCAACCAGTTTTTGTGAGAATCTGTCGGACATGAACTCGGGACCTTCGGATTGTTAGCCAAACAGCTAACCGACTGAGCTACATCCACACTGTGAAACTAAGTGCAAATTTACCTAGTCATGCCTTTGACTTTACGGAACTGAACGTAAGGTTTGAATAGGTAACAGACACTTACGAAGGTTGCAGGTAGGCATGGTATTTAATGACTTTAGTCTACGGACACTTACGAATGATCCCGGTGCCATTTGGCACACTCATCCCATTCCGTTATCTACAAGATACCAATTGGTGACGAATGAGCCAATATGGCGCAAACTGAAAACGTCTCCAGGCGTCAGACGTCAGACGCCGAACTCGCATGTACTCATGAATGACACGGTATTTTATAGTTTGTCGGGTAATTTTTGTGGCAGAAAAGTGTGGTAGGGATGATGTAAGGAATAGTAAGGAACGAGAGAGGCATGAACATGGCTAGTGACGACACAACGGTGAGTTCGCTTTTGGATCGGTACTGAAAAAATGTGGCCAGTAAAAGTGGCTTGTGTGAATGTTCCAGGACAGTTTCCAGTAACCAAAATATTCAACACAAAACCATTTCATCCTTTTTACTAGACGTTTTTGTGTGAAGAATATTAGGAGCCGCTATAGAATCTATAATAGCCCCTAAACGGGTACCTAACCCTAATGATCGTAAAGGGATGATTGATCATAAAGGGGATCCAAGGGCTAAGGATAGAGTTCGGGGTAACCTACCCTAACACTGGCGATATTTGGATGTGTTCAGCGCCAATATAATATCCCTAATAAACTGCATTCTTGTGCATAATAATGAAAATTATTGAACCGGGAAAAAAAAAGTATCTATATTAGTTCCCATTTATAACCATTTTAGCCACTTGAATTACGAGAAAAATGAAATAAAAACTATGTAAAAAATAAAATGCTTTCGTAAATAAGCGCTTGCTATAAAATGCGCCACTGCAGGCTGTATTTAGTAAACAAATATTCAAAACTCTCAACACCACTGGGCGTATTCAATGACATTGCATGTAAAGATAATAATAATAGATCTCTGGGAGGAGCTTATGCACACTCGATGACCCACGACGTCAATGGTCATTGTTTTGCTGGAGTGACTGGCAACAAAATAGTACAAATTATGTCATAGGGTATTGTCAAGTTTGTGGTACTGTATTCTAAAGGTAGGCCGAATTTACTTTGTGATCCCACATGTAGTCTGTCAACGACAATGCTTTAGTTTATAACGAACTGTAAATCTCTGAGCTGTTCACCTGTCACCAATCAGCCTATCAAAACATCCGCGGCCACACGCAGCTGTTCAAAACAGCAATAAACCATTCAAGGCAAGTGATTAAATGGATTGAGTACTGACATCTTGACCACAATTAACACCCACAATTAACAATAGTAAAACAGTGATTAGACTATAGCCTCTTAAGTGGATAAATTCTGCCTTTAAATCGCGACGACTACACAGGAAATTCAGTTGAAATGCGAATTACAAATTACAGTTATAATGAACTGATTTTGCGTTCTGTCAGTGGATGTGTATTTGTGAATTAAAAACTGATCATAGCAATCACAGAATAACTGAATAAATGAGGTATTGTGATGCTGCAGAATGTATTGATTACGTAGATACTATTAGCCGGTGTCGTATGTGCTCAGCCAACAGAAGGGTAGAAACATATCAATCAGCAGCCAGGACAGCCTGAATAGTGTAACCCAAAACCAGGGCTATTAACAGTAGCTGTGTCTCTGGAGAACAAAGGATCTCCTCGTTACTGGAGTATTTAGTTGTTTTTTTCTAGTGATATTGTTCTTATTTGCAGACACTGAATCCAAAATGGCATGAAGAGTTTGTGTTCCGGGTAAGTCTACTATATATCCCTTTCAAACTCATTTTGTTTTTCTTTTCCCTCAGGACCTGTAAAGATCTGGGTTAGAATAGGTCTTCAGCAAACTCAATACTTGCTTGCCGTAAAAGGCAACTAACGGGATCAGGTGGTCAGGCTCGCATTTCATTGTATCCCAATTAAGTGGATCGATGCACATAATTTCAATCACTGGATTGTCTGGTCCATACTCAATTGTTTACAGACCGCCGTCATATGTCTGGAATACTGCCGAGTGTGGTGTAAACAAGAAACAAATAAACAAACTAATGCTTTCCCTCAGGATGTAAGGCCAAATCAAATTTGGTGGAAACTTTGCTTGCAAACGCAACCCTTTGCAACATGAATTTGAAAGACATATACAAATAGAGAATTGAAACATGCCTTACTTTGATCTAATATTCACCTTTTCAATGTTTGGTAGCCAAGTAGAGGATGCTGTTCATTTTGCTGTGAAAGGAAATGTTGTTTGTGGGTTTGAATCCCGGATTACGATCCTTTGTCTGTCAGTACCGTACACATGCTTGTAAATGTACATGTCAACAATTTGTGTCATTTTCAGCTGTTCAAACTGGCATTAAACCCAATTCATTCTCACTTACTCCTACAAATGTAATTATTTGTCCTGTTTGTTTGTGATATTCATTTGCTTGTCTTCTTCAGGTGAACCCCCGAGACAATGTGGTGCTGCTGGAGGTGTTCGATTCTAACCGAGTGGTGAGTAGTCTGGACCAAGGGCACCAGCAGCTGGGTGATGTTGTACAGCAGGACGTATGTCAGAGATCTCAGTAGTACCTCCAATAGACAGGGGGCTTTAATTACTCGGCAGATAGAAAATAGGCAACATATGACAATGCTATATCATTGGTTATTGTATGTCGTCAGTGGCCCAGGTGCCCGGTTGTCTAAGGCACCACATGACCCTTGCAGAGTTGGGACCCTTTGCTGTGCCAGAAACCTGTGTTGGGTTTGAATCCCAGATTCAACCTGATTCTGTTCTAGGTTTGTCAGCACCATACCTACACTCTTGGGTTCCACCAAAGGTTTTATTGTCTAAGCCCTGCATCACCTCGGCTTTTCTCAGACATGCCATGATATAACTGAAATACTGTTCAAAGTGGCGTTTCAACCAAATTGACGTTTATTTGTGTAAGGTTATTTATGTGGATATACAACCCATGAACAAGGAACTATGAGCTGTTATTCCCTGGTAAAGTTTGTCTAATGGTGAGAGATGTTGTTCCAGACGAGGGATGACTTTCTTGGTCTGGTGGAGATCCCACTCAACCACACGGGCGTGGCCACAGAAAGGTCGGGTCGAGATGTCGGCGTCAAGAGCTTCATGCTTAGGCCAAGAAGGTAAGCCACACACTGTCAGTTAATGGTTTAGTTACACCAATGTTTGTGATACTGGCAATAAGTAGATATTATGATATTGGTCTTAGGAATATAGCATTATTTGCTGCCATTATTTTTATACATGTAACATTTGAATTTTGATGTAATGATGACAATCGAAAATCAATCCATATTCTCCAATTCTTGTTTAATTGAATTTAGTAAGGGGCTAGTAGCCTTTTGTTATCTATGAGAAAAGTAGAGTGGTTTAAGAAGTAGCACAACTATATGAGTAAAGAGCAGTGGTCAGAACAGAAGCAATATGTTATTTATCAGAAAAGAACTGGTGAAACTAGTAGCACTACTTTATGAGTAGTGGTCAGACAAGTAGCATTTTGTTGTAAGAAAAGAACATTGGGGGACGAGTAGCTTTACTTCATGACTAAGGAGTATTGGTGAGTCTAGTAGCATCATATGTGACCTTGATGAAGCTGTACCCTCTCCGCTTGCAGCATCCGCTCCCGAGTTCGAGGGCACCTGATGCTGTACTTGGCATATGTGGCTACAGAAGGGGACAGCAATGCTGATGATGAGGCGTCAGGACAGACGACCAACGAGGTTAGTGTAAGTTATTACATTTTGTGTTTCACAACAAATATCAACTCAAATGGCTGTCAGCCAATATATTTTCCAGATTTGAAAGAAAAATGTTCATGGTATTTTTGGTAGCTAACAATACTATTGTGTTGGCTCTTATTGTTTAAACTTGGGTGCCATTGTACAAAGCGATCTTAGCGCTAAGGTGATCGTTACTCCCATATCTTATTGACGACAATCGTAGTGCTAAGGTTGTTATGACAACGCCACCCTGAACATTATATTATCCACAAACACCATGATGAACTATTTGCCAAGTATTTGGAGTTCCTGCTCATTTCTCACCTAGGCTAGTACTTGAATAGGCAAGAATGCATTTTACCTGACACCTTCCACCATTTTGGAAAAACCAACAAACGTGGCTCGGTTGCTATATGTTTCGTGTTTCTTGCACAGCCCGGCTGGGAGATGGTGGACATCGAGACAGCCATCAATGAAGCGGGGGCGTCAGGCCCCACCACCGTGGGGGCCACAGCCTCGGCCCACGGGGAGAACCTGGAACCCCTGCCCCCAGGCTGGGAGGAGAGGCGGGACCCCCAGGGCAGGAAGTACTACATCAATCACAATGACAGGACCACGCACTGGGAAAGACCCTCACCAAGGTAAAACAATAAACATATAGAAACATTGGTGGTTTTGTGTCCACTGAACTGTGTGAGGTAGTTGGGTTTTATTTCCTGTTTGGAGTAGGACACAGAAATGGGGTTTAAACATTTTACCAAAGTGGGAAATAAAACCTGGGTCAACGGTGTGACAAGCCAACACGTTAACCACTAGGCGACCCTACCACCCCAGTGTTACGTCTAATGAGTTTAGAAGCAAATGTGACCCCTTTTGATGCTCAAGAAAACATTTGCCTAAATGCGATAAATATGACACATCTTTAAGTGTTGGTGTGTACTGGGCGACCCATTGGCCTAAGGCATCACAAATGGTGCAGAGTTGTGTCCCTGCTCGTACCAGGATCTGCTGGTCAAGGGTTTGAGTCCCAGATTCACCGTGGGGTTTATAATCCTTGGTTTGTTAGCACTGTTCCCATAGTTGTTGGTTTCACCAATGGTAAACCTCTACAGTCTGCATCACACAGGCTTTTCTCCCATATTAAGCTGACAAGGTGGGATTAAGTTTCTGAGCACACATACCATGTTTCCCTCTTACCATGCTGGGCGGTGGGGTAGCCTAGTGATTAAAGCATTGGCTTCATCCCGAAGACCTGGTTTGATTCCCCACATGGGAACAATGAGTGAACCCCATTTTCAGTCGTCCCCCGCTGTGATATTGCTGGAATATTGCTAAAAGCGGTGTAAAACCATACTCACTCACTCATTCGCTCTTCAAATAGCTACTTGAATATAGATATTTCCTGTCAAGTTCGTGATAAGCAGCGGAGCGTCACACTCTGCTATCGTACTTATTGTTTCTACTACAGTTCTGATAACGGGAATTTCAGCAGTTCGAGCCTGCCGACGGGATGGGCGGAGAGGATGGATGCCAATGGCCGAACCTACTACGTGAACCACACCTCACGTTCATCACAGTGGCAGCGCCCAACAAAGTGAGTTACTGGACATTCCAAACCCATCCAGCTACAGTAACAGTTGGCTATGTAGAGAATATACAGGACATAGGGTCACAGCCTAAAGTACTTATGTTTATACTCTGATAAAATTGATTAGTACACATTCTTGAGATATATGCTTTGGAAATTGGAATTATTCTGTCAGCTAGTCAGTTACAGTTATATTGTTCATCTGTGACATGAAGCGTATGACATACCCATGAAGATCTATACCAAACAGTGGTCAAAATAGACATCTGCCCGTAGGCCCGCGGCCAACAGATTTCTTCTTGGGCTGAAAGTTTTAAAATTTCAGCAGGCCCTTATGAAATTGATTTAAGTGATTATGTATTCCTCAGTATTTAAGTAATGTGATAAACATAACTTTCATATTTAAAAGCAGTAGGATTAGACCTTTGAAATCGTGTATGACATGTAGTTGCAAAGATGTTTTACAAGCTGAAAATTTCCTGATAAATGTTGTCAACATCTATCACCAAGTCTCGGGGACTCGGTGTGATAGCAGTAAGAGCTTCTGGTTGACTGTGTTTTGTAATTTATGTTGCAAGAGTATGTCTCCCTGCTTCCACTGGGACTACAGTTTTTCAACTGGGCCTACAGTTTTTCAACTTGGACTACAGTTTTCAACTGGGCCTACAGTTTTTCAACTGGGCCTACAGTTTTTCAACTGGGCCTACAGTTTTTGAAATGTACTGGCCCTCAGGGCTCTCAGTTTACTCTGCTGAGTTTCAGACACTAATACCAAACTTACATTTAGAGAATAATTTGGAGTGCTTGATGATTTCTAGTTTATGAGCAAGAGAAATTTTATTCTTGGGTATTTATTGTAATGGAAGGGAGATATGATATAAGGATGAGCTAATCCATGTGGCACACTCTGACCTTGAGGGGATCTGTGATGCATGCGATTATGTCAGACTACCAGTTTATTGCATGTAGTCTGCTTTCTCTGTATGCCAAGCCTGTAATGGCCGCCACCTTGTGTTTCAGCAACCTCACGGAGGTTTCAGAGCAGGAGATGAATCGTCAGCGCAGCATGGAGGCAGCTCAGCTCTACCTGCAGCGACGCCACATCAGTCAGGACGACACCATCAGCGTCCACTCCAACAGTGACGAGACAGAAACCACGAACACAGAGAGGGTAAGTTACACAATACAGTCGGAGGATGTTAGGGCCCTTGAAGGTGACGCAAGTGTGTTTGGGAGGTATTGAGGTACATGGGATGACCTCGCTAATGACAAGTAATGATATTGGCACTTGTTCTAAATTGCTGTTTTAAAATTGTCCTATAAAGATAAAGCCTCTGGGATGAAATAATAACTAAATGGTAACGAGGATGTGTAAGGAAAGACTGAACTGGTTACAATTATTCCTCCGAACATTGGTGATGTTGTCAATGCAGAATAATAAGAGAATACACTCTGCATATACATCCTTGTACACACTCAAAAATAGGACTAAAATTTCAGTATTCCTGTAAGAGGTAGGCATATTTTACAGCTCTCTTGACATACGCTTGTCATGGGTGACAACTGGGTGTGTACAACACGTAAAAACATGGGTCTGGTTGTATTTGTGACCCTGATGCCAATTGGTGTTGTACATCTATGTTTTCTTTGTTTCAGACTCCACCATTTTCTCCTTCATCAGTAAGTATAGTTTCACATGAGGGACTTGGAACTAACCTGAACTTGTCATGTTGATCACGTTGGTTGTCACAAGATGTTGATCACGTTGGTTGTCATGAGATGTTGATCACGTTGGTAGTCACGTGATGTTGATCACGTTGGTAGTCACAGGATGTTGATCACATTGGTCGTCACGAGATGTTGATCACGTTGGTTGTCACGAGATGATGATCATGTTGGTAGTCACGTGATGTTGATCACGTTGGTTTCACGAGATGTTGATCATGTCACGTGATGTTGATCACGTTGGTTGTCACGAGATGTTGATCATGTTGGTAGTCACGTGATGTTGATCACGTTGGTTTCACGAGATGGTGATCATGTCACGTGATATTGATCACATTGGTTGTCACGAGATGTTGATCACGTTGGTAGTCACGTGATGTTGATCACGTTGGTAGTCACGTGGTGTTTGCATGCGGGTGTTTCTTGAGGTGTTTGTGGCCATGAACATTTGTTCTCAGTAAGAAGGCACATAGTGATCGTAAATGGAAGTCAAATTATCTTGGTGCTTACTTGTCATATTGTAGGTAGTTGATGTAGATTGGTTTTAGCCTCTGCTGACCTGTTGAAGTGCAAGCCTCATAATCTCTTAACATTAACCTCTGTTAAGATTTGGATTGATAAACAAAAATGATTCCTGAAAATGGTAGCAAGATGTAAGATAATGAAGATAATGCATTTCTGTGCCTGACACTGACTATTGCTGTGTTGACAGAGTCAGCACCGGGCACTGGTTCACCGGCCACTAGACGGGGATGAGGAGCCACTTCCAGCTGGCTGGGCCATGGGCATGGCACCCAATGGCCGCAAGTTCTTCATAGATCACAACACACAAATAACAACATGGGTATGCTCTCCGAAGCTTTCTGTAATCTCAATGTCTGTGTCATTTACATTTACCGAGTTTTTAATTTGTCGCATATATGCCCTTCTCTTCTGGACAATTGACTAGATTCATGACAGTGAAACATCTGCAAATGAACAATATGATTAGAACTGGTGTGCTAATAACATTATTCTCTCCATGGTGAACTGGTGTGTTAGTAACATCGTTTTTACTTCTTGGATGAACTGGTGTGTTAGTAATGTTATTATTCCCTCCAGGATGAACTAGTATGTTAGTAATGTTATTATTTCCTATAGGATGAACTAGTATGTTAGTAATGTTATTATTCCCTCCAGGATGAACTAGTATGTTAGTAACGTTATTATTCCCTACAGGATGAACTAGTATGTTAGTAATGTTATTATTCCCTCCAGGATGAACTAGTATGTTAGTAATGTTATTATTTCCTTTAGGATGAACTAGTATGTTAGTAATGTTATTATTCCCTCCAGGATGAACTAGTATGTTAGTAATGTTATTATTCCCTCCAGGATGAACTAGTATGTTAGTAATGTTATTATTCCCTCCAGGATGAACTAGTATGTTAGTAATGTTATTATTTCCTATAGGATGAACTAGTATGTTAGTAATGTTATTATTCCCTCCAGGATGAACTAGTATGTTAGTAATGTTATTATTCCCTCCAGGGAGAACTAGTATGTTAGTAATGTTATTATTCCCTCCAGGATGAACTAGTATGTTAGTAATGTTATTATTTCCTATAGGATGAACTAGTATGTTAGTAATGTTATTATTCCCTCCAGGATGAACTAGTATGTTAGTAATGTTATTATTCCCTCCAGGGAGAACTAGTATGTTAGTAATGTTATTATTCCCTACAGGATGAACTAGTATGTTAGTAATGTTATTTTTCCCTCCTGGGAGAACTAGTATGTTAGTAATGTTATTATTCCCTCCAGGATGAACTAGTATGTTAGTAATGTTATTATTCCCTCCAGGATGACCCGCGCCGCTCAAGACCAAGCTCCATGCCCAACCTGGACACGCCCAGCGGCATCTGGAGGCCGTCCTCCAATGAAGATCTTCTCAGAAATCTTGGGCCTTTGCCGGTAAGCTACGACTGTTGTAACTTGGGAGCTTCCATACTTTGATACCTTTGTGAATGTGGGCCCAGGTAGTTGCCATAGTTTCCTGGCAGATTGTTCCATTCAAGTTTCTTCTTTGCTAATCTAAGTTGTACTAATGATGGTGTTTTGTGTCCATGGTTACCGTAGTCTAACCTGAAGGGGATGTTTCAGTTTCTGCCTGTTTGTTCTAGGCTGGCTGGGAGGAGCGGACGCACACAGACGGGAGAGTGTTCTACATTGACCACAGTAAGTCTGGCTTCACCAGGACTGTGAACCATGTAACATTGTCGGCCATACACTTCCCTGACCTCAGGAGTAAACAGATGAATAAGTGTAGCAAGGATTATAAATAGATGTTTAATCTTGATCCTTGATGCGATGCTGGAACAGAAAATGTCCCCAGTGCTAATAAGATGCAGTATTTCAAATTTAGAATGTACATCTTTGGTTAACCTACTGAAAAGACTCACCTGTGATCTGACTGGTTCTCAGGCCACAGTGATGTGTTGCAGGTGCACTGAGTGCTCTGTGTCACAAGGTGTGGACAGCATCAATGTGTTGCAGATGCACTGAGTGCTCTGTGTCACAAGGTGTGGACAGCATCAATGTGTTGCAGGTGAACTGAGTGCTCTGTGTCACAAGGTGTGGACAGCATCAATGTGTTGCAGGTGCACTGAGTGCTCTGTGTCAGAAGGTGTGGACAGCATCAATGTGTTGCAGGTGCACTGAGTGCTCTGTGTCAGAAGGTGTGGACAGCATCAATGTGTTGCAGGTGCACTGAGTGCTCTGTGTCACAAGGTGTGGACAGCATCAATTTGTTGCTGGTGCACTGAGTGCTCTGTGTCACAAGGTGTGGACAGCATCAATGTGTTGCAGGTGCACTGAGTGCTCTGTGTCACAAGGTGTGGACAGCATCAATGTGTTGCAGGTGCACTGAGTGCTCTGTGTAACAAGGTGTGGATAGCATCAATGTGTTGCAGGTGCACTGAGTGCTCTGTGTCACAAGGTGTGGACAGCATCAATGTGTTGCAGATGCACTGAGTGCTCTGTGTCACAAGGTGTGGACAGCATCAATGTGTTGCAGGTGCACTGAGTGCTCTGTGTCACAAGGTGTGGACAGCATCAATGTGTTTCAGGTGCACTGAGTGCTCTGTGTCACAAGGTGTGGACAGCATCAATGTGTTGCAGGGGCACTGAGTGCTCTGTGTCACAAGGTGTGGATAGCTGCAAGATTGCTGTTGCATTAAGCTGTAATCATTCGCTCTGTAACACCCAACCCCTCTAACCTTGGCTTCATTGTGTTCAGATACCCGAGGTACGCAGTGGGAGGACCCAAGGTTACAGAAGCTGGGAGGTCCCGTAAGTACAGCTGTTACAGTTTTATAAAACTTGCTTACAATTTATTTGCATTTTATAAAAACTGCTTACATAGTGTATTACAGTTTCCCCAATCAGTTGTTTCTAAATATATATTGATGTCTTGTGGATAAATGTAGCTGTGACTTCATGTATATTAATTTTGATGGTGTGTGAAATGGTCAAGGGGGAGATAATTGAAAATTACACTACAAAAGTTATCTCCCTTATATTAGTATTTGTTAGAATTCATCCCATGACAATGATTTTCACATTGTTATTTTCAGGCTGTACCCTATTCCAGAGACTATAAGAGGAAATATGACTACTTCAGGTCCAAGTTAAGAAAGCCAGTAAGGATAATTGTTTTTAGTTACACGATTTTTACAAAAGGTTGAGTGTTTGTAGTTTCTATCATATTCAAGGTTACCACAACCCATGAGGATCCAGGTTAGAATTGGTCTTCGGCATCTTATGCTTGCCATAAGAGGCAGCTAACCGGATCGGTTGGTCAGGCCTGTCATTATATCCCAGTTGCATAGCTGCATATGATATCAATCACTCAGTTATCTGGTCCAGACTTGATTATGTAAAGACTGCCGTCATACAGCTGGAATATTACTGAGTGCAGTGTTGAAACAATAAACAAACAAAAGAAAAAGAAAGAAAAAAGGTTTGTTCAGTGATTTGGGGTAGAATTTGATCACAGTCAACCAGGTTTCTTTTAGTTATCACAAAATTGTTTATCTTGATTAATATCCATTTAAATGATTTCTTCATGAATGATAGTTTTATATTAGTTGGAGGATCTTTTCTGTATAATTATTAAAACGCTCATGAACGATCATTCATTTTCTTTTTCAGAATAATGTACCAAATAAGATCGACATAAAGGTAACGCGGAGAAATGTGTTCGAAGATTCCTATAGAATAATCATGAGTGTGAAGAACACAGACAATCTCAAAACCAGGTTATGGATCGAATTTGATGGGGAGACTGGCCTGGATTACGGTGGTGTGGCCAGGGAATGGTTCTACCTGTTGTCCAAAGAAATGTTCAACCCCTACTATGGCCTCTTTGAGTACTCAGCCACGTACGTACAGATTCCTTAACACTTTTTCCAGGGACTTATCCTCAGCGACTGTCTTGACAATGATATGCTTGTGATGCCTCTATTTCTTCTGCTCATAACTACTTCATTAGATTTTGTTGTTTCAAGTCATTTTCTTCTGATATAAGTAGTAAGAGTGTGCAATATCCCAAGATGTAATTGACTTTGTCCTCTTTGTAGTATCCCTTATAATGAATCTGTGTATCATGTCTGACTGAGCATATATCTGACTGAGCATGTGTATCTGACTGTGAGCATGTGTATCTGACTGTGAGCATGTGTATCTGACTGTGAGCATATATCTGACTGTGAGCATATATCTGACTGTGAGCATATATCTGACTGTGAGCATATATCTGACTGAGAGCGTATATCTGACTGTCAGCATGTGTATCTGACTGAGAGTACACCTGATGGTGAGCATATATCTGACTATGGGGTATGTGTATCTGACTGAGAGTACACTTGATGGTGAGCATATATCTGACTGTGGAGGTGTGTGTTTCAGGGACAACTACACCCTCCAGATCAACCCTCTGTCTGGAATGGCTAATGATGATCACCTGTCCTACTTCGAGTTCATTGGTCGTGTTGCTGGGATGGCAGTGTTCCATGGGAAACTGCTTGATGGTAGGTAGACGTTTCAATGGGAAGGCACATATGACAATATAACCATTACAATAGTGTTGTGACAGCATAATGTCTTGCCTTCTGGGGTGTCCCCTAACATAGATGGAAATAACATACTTAGAAAATGGATATACCCAGGTAAAGTGCTGCATTGATCAGTCGTTACACTGCACATTGTCACCAGTAGTGTGTGATGAACTCTATTGTTTGCAATAAGTGTTTAGATTCATGAGACCAAAGCATATTTGTTCTATTGCATATAGATATGATAATGTTAGTGGAAACTTATATTTAATTTATCTTTAAGATTTTCTTAAGCCGCTTGAAATTAATAGATTTTCATCGCCACATACCTCACTGCCCTACAAACTTATGTTGTCCCAAGGGGTATGGGTGGCCAAGTCGTCTAAGGTGCCGCGATTCGCTATGCAGAGTTGCGTCCCTTGGGCACGTCAGAAACCTATGATTGTTGGTTCGAATCACAGTTTTCCCCGATTATGTTTCTAGGCTTGTCAGCACCATACCCATGCTTGTGGGTTTCACTGAAGTGGTAAACGTTTGAGACCTACATCACTTCTGGCTTTTCTCCTACATAAGGTGACACGCCGTGATATAACTGGAATACTGTTAAAAGCGACTTTAAACCCAACTCATTCACCTCCACCTGTGTTGCCTTGTGTTGCCATGAGTGTTTGACCAGAACACTCTATGTGTATGCCTGCCTAATGCTGTATCAGTTTGGCCAATGGTTAATTGACTATACTGCACCTGTCGCCATTCCAGAAACCTGTACATGTAGGCAGAGTCTTGTCAAGAGGAGAAATCATATCAGTCGATAGTTCGAGTACACATTTGTCTGAAAGGGTTTGTACAGTTTCTCATGATGGTTATGAAGCAAGCCTGGTCATGGTGACATCTAACTCTCTGTTTTCTTTGCAGCCTTCTTCATCCGTCCTTTCTACAGGATGATGTTGCGGAAGCCCATCACTTTACAGGACATGGAGTCAGTGGTGAGTGCCTTCACTTATCTGTGTCACGAGCTCCGTGCTCCTGACAGAGTACAAAGACTTGATTGTTGATGTTTCGTGTCTGACGGTAACTCACAAAACAGTGTGTTTACTTTGTCTGGTGCAAGTGTCTCCTCAGTATTTGGGAATTACGTAACAAAGGTTGAAATTAAGCTAATTGCCTGACAAATATTTTTAAAATACAAAGCAAAAGATTTGGGATAATATTTTGAAAATGCCCATTTATCGTAAGAGAAGGTGTTGAGTTTCCTCAAAATCAAATACATGAGTATTTCCTCGCTGTAGTTAAGTTAGGGACAGCCTCATCTGTAAAGGAACTGTCATGCATTAGCTCAGAACATTGCGTTGAGCAGTAGTTTCACATATCCTGTTTCACTTATTCTCCAGGACTCGGAGTATTACAACTCCTTAGTGTGGATCAAGGAGAACGACCCAGAAGATCTGGAGCTTCATTTCTCTGTTGAGGAAGATCAGTTTGGAGAGGTGAGTTGAGATCTGCAGTATGCAGCCACCCTCTGTGTTGGGTCATGGTGTGATGTAGGAGTTACCTCCCCTGACAACAGCCAGGAAACAACGTTTGTCAGAAAAAAGTCAGAAACAGTATTTTCTTTCTCCAGATTATCAGTCATCTAGAAGCAATCGCAAAATATTTTTGGACAGTGGCCCAGGTTCCACATTTGTTCTGTCAGCTTTTTTACTAAAATATTACCTGGAAGTGACATTCCCATATCTCAGCCAATCAGCTTTCTCCTTGAATGCATATCCTGCTTGACATCCCAGACTTAGGATCCAAGCAATCCCAAGTAATGAGCTTCTTTCTTAGGAACATAATGAAGCTCTGTCAACCACTGATATTAGAACTGTGTGTCTGTGTGCTGGGTAAGGCTGGAGACTGGAGCTGAATTGTTACACGTTGTTGTCCGTAGATCACAGAGCGAGAACTGAAGCCAGGTGGCACGGATATAATCGTCACCAATGACAACAAGATGGAGTATATTGAGTGAGTAGAAATTGTGTTCATTCTCTCTTTCAAATGTCACATGTCATGCCTTATACAGAGCTCAGTAGTTGATGTGTTATGCCCTGACACATCATTTTCCTGTTGTTGACAATAAAATGAAATCCAAATATTTACCATCTTATTCGTTAGTCAGCCCTGTTTGAGCAAGTTTGGTTCAACACTGCTGTATACAGTATTTCATTTTAATCATGTCAGCTTTGTGTTCGAGGCTGAATTGATGCCTATGTTATCTGTTTACCCCTTTGGTGAACCCATGACTGAGGATGGGACTGACAACCCTAGAAACGTAATCACGCGATACCCGGGATTCAAACAATGAATTGTGGCACCTCTGACAACTGGGCCACCTGTGCCTCCTCCAGTGTTTTATGTCCTCCATGTTGTGTTGCAGCCTTGTGATCAAGTGGAGATTCGTGCAGCGTGTGGAGTCACAGATGAAGTCGCTGATGAAGGGATTTAACTCCCTCATCTCGCGCGATCACCTGCAGATATTTGACGAGAACGAGCTGGAGCTGCTGATGTGTGGGCTGCAAGACGTCGACGTCAACGACTGGAAGAGTCACACGGCCTACAAGGGAGAATACAACCCCAACCACCCGACCATCCTCTATTTCTGGAAGGTCAGTTACCCCTTCCCTGTGATCAGTGATGATGTAACGAGAGACTCTATGCATTACTGTGGGATTCTGGAGCTGAAACTATATAGACCATCCTTGTTGTGAGACAGTGACACTGTGAGACTGAGCTGGGTAACAGGTGTGACAGTGTGAGACTGACCTGGGTAACAGGTGTGTCAGTGTGAGACTGACCTGGGTAACAGGTGTGACAGTGAGACTGACCTGAGTAACGGGTGTGACAGTGAGACTGACCTGAGTAACGGGTGTGACAGTGAGACTGACCTGGGTGATGGGTGTGAGACTGACCTGGGTAACAGGTGTGAGACTGACCTGGGTAAAGGGTGTGAGACTGACCTGGGTAACGGGTGTGACAGTGAGACTGACCTGAGTAACGGGTGTGACAGTGAGACTGACCTGAGTAACGGGTGTGACAGTGAGACTGACCTGGGTGATGGGTGTGAGACTGACCTGGGTAACAGGTGTGACAGTGTGAGACTGCCCTGGGTAACAGGTGTGACAGTGAGACTGACCTGAGTAACAGGTTTGAGACTGACCTGGGTAACGGGTGTGAAACTGACCTGGGTAACAGGTGTGAGACTGACCTTGGTAACGGGTGTGACAGTGTGAGACTGCCCTGGGTAACGGGTGTGACAGTGTGAGACTGACCTGAGTAACGGGTGTGACTGTGAGACTGACCTGGGTAACGGGTGTGAGACTGACCTGGGTAACGGGTGTGACTGTGAGACTGACCTGGGTAACGGGTGTGACAGTGTGAGACTGACCTGGGTAACGGGTGTGAGACTGACCTGGGTAACAGGTGTGAGACTGACCTGGGTAATGGGTGTGAGATTGACCTGGGTAACGGGTGTGAGACTAACCTGAGTAATGGGTGTGAGACTGACCTGGGTAATGGGTGTGAGACTGACCTGGGTAACGGGTGTGACAGTGTGAGACTGACCTGAGTAAAGGGTGTGAGACTGACCTGGGTAACGGGTGTGAGACTGACCTGAGTAAAGGGTGTGAGACTGACCTGGGTAACGGGTGTGAGACTGACCTGGGTAACGGGTGTGAGACTGACCTGAGTAAAGGGTGTGAGACTGACCTGGGTAATGGGTGTGAGACTGACCTGGGTAACGGGTGTGACAGTGTGAGACTGACCTGAGTAAAGGGTGTGAGACTGACCTGGGTAACGGGTGTGAGACTGACCTGAGTAAAGGGTGTGAGACTGACCTGGGTAACGGGTGTGAGACTGACCTGGGTAACGGGTGTGAGACTGACCTGGGTAACGGGTGTGACTGTGAGACTGACCTGGGTAACGGGTGTGAGACTGACCTGGGTAACGGGTGTGACTGTGAGACTGACCTGGGTAACGGGTGTGACAGTGTGATACTGACCTGGGTAATGGGTGTGAGACTGACCTGGGTAATGGGTGTGAGATTGACCTGGGTAACGGGTGTGAGACTAACCTGAGTAATGGGTGTGAGACTGACCTGGGTAATGGGTGTGAGACTGACCTGGGTAACGGGTGTGACAGTGTGAGACTGACCTGAGTAACGGGTGTGACAGTGTGAGACTGACCTGGGTAATGGGTGTGAGACTGACCTGGGTAACGGGTGTGAGACTGACCTGGGTAATGGGTGTGAGACTGACCTGGGTAACGGGTGTGACAGTGTGAGACTGACCTGGGTAACGGGTGTGAGACTGACCTGGGTAACGGGTGTGAGACTGACCTGGGTAACGGGTGTGACTGTGAGACTGACCTTGGTAAAGGGTGTGAGACTGACCTGGGTAACGGGTGTGACTGTGAGACTGACCTGGGTAACGGGTGTGACATTGTGAGACTGACCTGGGTAACAGGTGTGAGACTGACCTGGGTAACAGGTGTGAGACTGACCTGGGTAACGGGTGTGACAGAGTGAGACTGACCTGAGTAACAGGTGGGAGACTGACCTGGGTAACGGGTGTGACTGTGAGACACAGCTCATGGCGTCTTCACGCCCTGAGTGAAGGGCTCATTGCTGATACCATTAACAACTGGTTTGCCAGGCCAGACTTGATTATTGAAGAGGCACCTTGTAACTGGAATATTGCTGACTGAGGTGAAAACGACATGTATGGAATTATGCAAGCAGTTTTACTTAGAACAGAAACTTGAAGTTTGCATATTTGCTACTTATTATTGCTACTGCTTGCCTCACTCGTTATACCATATCAATGTGCTTGTAACCCCACTCCCTGTTCTGAATGTGTCCATTTCCTCTTCAGGCTGTCTACTCTTGCAACAATGAAATGAGATCAAGATTGCTGCAGTTTGTCACCGGGACATCTCGAGTTCCAATGAATGGATTTGCCGAGCTGTATGGAAGCAATGGGCCCCAGCTGTTCACCATCGAGAAGTGGGGTCATCCTGGACAGCTGCCCAGAGCACACACATGGTACATTAGTTTGGCAGTGTACAAGCTGTAGTATCTCAGGGCTGACGAATGGTGTTCAACTTGTTTGTTCTTTTGGTCCAGGTGATATAGGCACCTGTAGTGAAACGTCACTTGCTTTATAAAGGTCCAAGCACCTGTACTGAAACGTCTCTTGCTTTATAAAGGCAGAAGCACCTGTACTGAAAAGTTGCTTGCTTGAAAAAGGCAGAAGCACCTTTACTGAAAAGTTACTTGCTTGATAAAGGTACAAACACCTTTACTGAAACATCACTTCCTTGATAAAGGTCCAAGCGCCTGTACTGAAATGTCACTGGCTAAATAAAGGTAAAAGCACCTGTAGCGAAACGTCACTTGCTTGATAAAGGTACAAACACCTTTGCTGAAAGGTGTCTTGCTTGATAGAGGTCCAAGCACCTGTTGTGAAACGTCTCTTGCTTGATAGAGGTACAAGCACCTGTTATGAGACGTCTCTTGCTTGATAAAGGTCCAAGCACCTGTAATGAAACATTGCATTCAAAGATTAAAGTCAGCTGTGTCTCCATACATGGTACCTGTTCAGAAACAGGAATGAAAGAACTACTCTAATAAGGTTGGAGAAAGAATTTATATTTTTTTGTAGCCCTGCCATTGTGATGCTATTTGGAACCGTTTGAGTCATAGTCATATGCAATGCTAGCCCTCGGTGGGGTTGGTGTGTCTGATGCCAACACGCTCTGCAATGCTTCCAGGCAGGATCGTGGCCTTGTGTGTCAGTTGGTCAGCTTTAGTGTGGGTCATCATACCTGTTTTGTACTGTTTCAAGCCGCCACAAACTCTGGTTTGTCTGGTCCTGACTTGAACATTTATAGGGTGTTTATACAGCTGCAGTACCAGTGTATAGCTTCAACAGTCATGCTTTGTTTCTGATATTCAGAAGTGATCAAGTGAATTGTGGTGCCATTTGGTATTCAAACAATTTCAAATTCATTTCTTTTTCTACATTTCCATGGAAATAATTGGTGGTTATGACCCTTTTTGTCTTATTGAAACATCTGTTGTGTATACTTCAATGAAGGTAGTTTTATTTTCAGTCGTTAATTTTCTTTTGTTTTGTTTTTCAGTTTCAACCGTCTGGACTTGCCTCCCTATGAGTCTTATACCGAACTACGTACAAAGCTAATCACGGCGGTCGAGAATACCCAAGGCTTCGAGGGTGTGGACTAACATGGGTTCTACGCCCACAACACTGTATATACCATAAAGGGGTCTCCACTCACAGGAAGAGTTACCTTCCCTTGTCAGCCATGACATTCTGCTAACGTGGAGAACGTCTCAATAAATGAAGGGTTGTCGTCTTTGGACGAAATATTTCAAAGCACAATGTGATACTAACCAGCTCAAACGCCCCTCAGATGGGTGTCAGAGTGTCATGGTAGTGTATCCCCCGGAAGTGCGATGGTCTGGGGATGTATGTTGGCCATGTACACAGATGTATCTAACCATATGATGTGTATGCCGCATCGTTAATTCCAATAATGTATATGACATCTAGGTGTACTGGCAGTCTGCTTGCTTTTTTTTTTTGCAATGTCATTGATACATATTAATAACCTGTGCTGTGAAGTACTTATTGAATCCACATCATATGTTGTGTGATGAAGATTCAGGAACACCATCAACAGGAGGAGGCAATGTGCGACTATTCACGGAGGATGTCAGTGTGATTTGGAAGTCAAACCCGTCCAATAAATGTCATGATGTCTATGAAATGGATAGTTCTTGTCAGTTCAACATTGCAGTTTCATCATGGCCCGTAAGGTGTTTCAAACCAGATTGAATGGAAATATATTGTAAAAGTTTAACATGAACAGATTTACGTTTCTAAGACATACACCTTTTTATCGTTCCCCAACTGTAATCGGATGGAGAAGAAGGTAGTCGGACCGAGCCACGGGATAGAAGTACGCAGGGGAATCTGGATGCCCCTGGCATCAGCAACTTTAGGGGTCCTGGGAATGATGTGTCACTTGAATGCACAGAGACCAAATACTGGTCTTGGAATTTCAGGGTCCTCATAGACAGAATGGCTGGAGTGTTGCGTTTCTGTATTTTGTTAGTCCTGAAGCTCCCATCAATAAAGTGTATCGGGATATTTCTATTACTGGTACCTGTCATTGAATATGTGAACATCACCTATGGAAATGTTGGTTAAAAAAAAAGTACTTAGGTGTTCAACAATAGAATTATAAACCTGGCAACCGTATATTATTGTGCAATAAAAAAACTATAAGATGTAAACTTATCTTGATATAATAATATGTGTTCAAAGGAAACCAACGGTTATGATAACAGTTTGCTGAAATCAGAGGACTGTGATTTGTCCGGAGGAATAATTGAAAGGGAGGTAACTGTGATAGTACTAAACAAAGGGAGGTAACTGTGATACTACAAAACAAGGGGAAGTAACAAGATAGTAATAACCAAAGGGAGGTAAATGCAAAGTAAGGGGAAGTAACTATGCTAGTACAGTACCAAGGGAGGTATCTATGATATATTACAAGGATGATGACTCCTTTGTGGTATTGAGGGATAATGTTGATGGACATATAAGATATCTACAGCTATGAGGACTGCAGTAAACACAGTATGATTGCTTGACCTTCTTTGTCTGTCATGCTAATATACTGTATGATGTTCTTGCCCTACTGTACATAATGTCCCAACTGAAGGAACAATGGCGTCATGCTATGTTGCTTTGCTTAGAAAAGATGCATTTGAAGACACAATATAACGACCAATTTCACCGCTTGTGAAAATTAGTCTTGAGATAAATTAATCTAGTGCTTCTTTGTTCTTGCCAGGTAAGTCTCACTTGCACATTCTGCATATGTGATTGGATGATATTAGTTGATGAAATTTCTTATATTAAATAAGAATCAGAGAAGGAATGGAATTTCAATTAATCAAACATAATAACTGTTGATCTGTGAAACTATAATATTTCAATAAAACAAGTTTATGGTAAGATTACAGACAGATAAGATAGAGATTAGACATTGTATCTTGCAAGTTTGTTTCCATACAGCCTGTTCCAGATGTAACATAGATGGGTATTGAAACTATAAATTTGAAACAAATAACCCACAAGTAGTTAACAGAAATGACCCTTGGAAAAGATATGTACGGATATTTGTCCCTTGTAGGGCTGGAAGGGAGACCAGGTTGGGACAGATGGAATGGCAGTAGATAGCTTTCCAAATTTAAAAGGAGACTAGAATCAGTTTATATGGCAGCCCCAGCCTATTTGGTTCAAGTCCCTCAAACACCACTGCTAGTTCAGTGTTTATGGTACTGTAATTATTATTACAGCACAGTTGTTAATGACAGCAGTTACACACAGACAATGTTTCAGTCTCACACAAATGGTATTAATGACAATGTTTAGTCCCAGAAGAAAATGGGCACCAGACCAGGGAGGGTGGTTGGACAGACTGTAAGGTGATCCTCGTTCCACGCGTTGTCTGCTCACAGGTTGTGCTTTAAGTCACTTTGAGTGTAATCAGATATTGCATATTACTGAATATTTCTTCCCCAATTTTTGACGTCTATTCATTTCTTGTATTTTCAATACATGTGTACAGTTGACGCCCATGCTTGTGTGTATATGTGTTTATATGTGTAACATACTGGTGTCTATATTATACAGTTGGATTATTATTATAGTGTACATAAAAGCTCTACTCCATCTGATGTAAAAATATTTCATACTTGGATTTTATAAATTCTAATTGTGCAAGTCATATGCAACCCTGTACCATTATTTATGCATGTGTATAGCATCAGTAGAGGAGCACTTTTTCACTTGTTTCTTACTGGGAGGGAGGGTTAAAAATTGTCAATAAATTTGAGATCAGTGAATTTGTCTTTGTTTTGATGAATTATGACCTGCAAAAGATGATTGTATCGCTAGTGCTGCTCTAAATGTGTCAGGGTCGGTCGGGTAGCCTAGTGGTTAAAGTGTTCACTTGTCATGCAGAAGACCCAGGTTTGATTCCTGACATGGGTACAATGTGTGAAGCCCATATCTGGTGTCCCACGCCGTGATATTGCTGGAATATTGCTAAGAGCGGCGTAAAACCATATTCACTCACTCACTCTAAATGTGTTGTACAGAATGGGAGTTGCATTGTCGTTCCGATTGCTTTAAGGAACAAGTCGTCGCACGTTGTAAGACAGCATGGGGTCGGGGTAGCCTAGTGGTCAAAGCGTTCGCTCATCATGCCAAAGACCTGGGTTCGATTCCTGACATGGGTACACAATGTGTGAAGCCCATTTCTGGTCTCTACCATCGTGATATTGATGGAATATTGCTAAAAGCGACATAAAACGTCACTCACTCACTCACTCACTCACTCACTCACTCACTCACTCACTGTTAGACAGCATAAGAAATTAACATTTAAGGAATGACATTCTTGAAAATTGGAATTATGTTTTATTTGCTCCTTGTAGATGAATTGTGTAAGCCCTAGTGACGGGCTCACCGCTGGCAAACTTTGGACAATACGATACCCCATACACATAATTTGGCATCGATTCACATTAACCCAGTATCAATTGTCAAAATGTTGTATGCAGTATCAAGATGCATATGGTATTGTGGCTTCTGTCTGGAGATATGCATGGTATCGTGTGATGCCTGTATCCTGACATCCCGTGTACCTTGCCTGGTACTTTGTCAGGGATTTCATTCAGACAGATAGTCCTTAAATTCAAGTTTCAAGGTTATTCTTTATACTACTCTCACACACTTATATTTTATATATTGGAACACTTTGTTTTAGACACAGTAAAATGATATGCTATCACAAGTTCCCATCCCTGTCTACAAAATATGTGTTGGAAAAAATTCACAGAAACACATCTCAACATTTGATTGTAACATCTCTTAATATGTATGTGCATGGTCATATGAGAAGTTTGTAGGCACACTTGTAGTCAGAAACTTCACTTCATCTTGGTTGTGAGGAGTATGTACCAGTATGGTATGTGTATTGGGAAACATTGAATAGCAGAAGGTGTTTGACTATGTGAGATGAAACTAGCCTGCATCCCTACAGTTTAATATCTTCACATACGAAATAGGGTTATTTATGATTAAAAATGGCTTCAACAGGAGCTTACTGTTTACAAACTGAACAATTTGGAAGAATGATTTTGGGTGATAAATTAAAATCTAACCCTCATGTTTGTTGATATCAAATATATCACCATGAGTGAATAAAAGTTTGAGAAAAACTTTGAGATACTATTAAGTCATTTCTGGGTGTAATTTGTTTGAGAGATTCCTCAATATTTGCTGCAGTACTCCACATGGTATAGGGAATAACCCTAACTGTGTCCTGACTAGCACTGTTATGCTTAATGACTAGTCAAGTAACCTACACATAGAAGTTACTGAAAGTTAACTTAAATGTACTGTCCCATTTGGAGAAGTTCTGAATACAACATTTCTGGTGCCCATTGCTGTGATATTGATGGAATATTGCTAAAAGTGGCGTAAAACCATACTCACTCACTCTTAATACAACATGTTCCACCTGCCTGGCTGGCCACACAGTTACACATCACATTCATATGTGAAGACACAATGCCTTTTAAAAAATGGTCAAATGTAACAAATGTTCTATTTCGGATTACAATTTCTTGGTAAAGTACAACAAATCCGGGATTCGAAACCACACTGCCATAACAAGGCACCTAATCGCCAGCACACAAAGTCAGTGATCTAACCTACTCAGCCACCGAGGCTTCCACAAAAATGGAGTGAGTGTGTGAGTGAGTTGGGTTTAACGCCGCTTTTAACAGTATTCCAGATATATCACGGCGTGTCAGCTTAATGTGGGAGGAAAGCCCGAAGTGATGCAGGTCTCGGACGTTTACCACTTCGGTGAAACCCATGAGCACAGGTTTGGTGCTGACAAACCTAGAAACATAATCGGGGCGAACAGGGATTCGACCCACAATCAAAGGTTTCTGGCGTGCACAAGGGACACAACTCTCAACCTTAGACGACTGGGCCACCTGTGCCCCTTCCACAAGAATGGAAATCTGACAACTGGTAGTCTAGATCACATACTTTGTTTTACCCTCTGATAAGTGTAAATTGGCATGACTCCCATGGCTGAAAGCTAAGAATACACAATGTCTTTTAGAAAGTTGTCAAATGTAACAAATGTTTTATTTGGGATAACTCTTCCTTGATAAAGTACAAATTCTGGTACTTTTGGGGGTTGTGTGTAGTTTTTCATATGACATGAGTGAGTGAGTGAGTATGCTTTTATGCCGCTTTTAAGAATATTCCAGCAATATCACAGCGGGGAACACCAGGAATGGGCTTCACACATTGTACCCATGTGGGGAAATGAACCTGGGTCTTCAGCATGACGAGCAAATGCTTTAGCCACGAGGCTACCCCATCGACATGACAAACTGTAGTAGTATATGTGAAAATGGGATGTTCTGTAACTTGTTTTACCTTCTATTAAGTAGTATGTGTTGATGGGCAGGGATGGAGAAATACAGGCGAGCGAGGCAGTTAAAATTTAACATTGCATTGGCATTGATTCTGCCATATTGCAATGACAAATTATGGAAACTAAATCAATCTGTCAAACATATTTTTTAGCATAGCAATAACTGTGCAAAGTACTAGTATTGACTCCAGCCCTGGGGAGAGAATGTACATTATATACAACTCGAAACAATTAAAGAACATCCACAAATGGACGGCTGTGTGTTGCAATAACCACCAGCCATGACAGATTAATTATAGTGATAAGATAAGATCGGATGTTCTTTGACTTATTTTGAGTACTATACATCTACTACTGCTAGAAACAGTTGCTGGATTGCTGGTAGTCTGCTGAAGCTCTCTATGGGAGTAGAGCCGTTAGGTTGATATCCAATGTAATCTTCATAAGGAATCGGTTTCTTTTGCTCCTACACCAGTTATTTGTAATTTAGATCATTCATGATTTTGTATTAAATTGGGACTGGAAAGTGATTGCACTCAAGAAGTCATTTTTATGAAGGACCAAAAAAATTAGTTTTGATTAATTGAAGCAATCAGTAATTAAAACATCAGAATTTGGGTTCTCTACGCCTTTTTAATGCAGTAATACCCCCAGATGTCAGGGTATTTTAGTACTTGGCGACTTACTTGATTGACAGCATGGGGCATTGCTCATATTATCAACCACTGGTTTATCTAGCAGGTGTGTGTGTGTGTTCGTGTGTGTGTGTGTTCGTGTGTGTGTGTGTGCGTGCGTGCGTGTTGTGTGAGAGCCCACTGAGATATGGTGCAGTTTAACATGGTTTGCCCACCTTGTCCTTGTTTTATTCTCTTAATGCTGAGCACCAGACAGGGTCACAAGTACCATCTTTTACAGTGTTTTTATATAATGGGACCTTCCGCTCTATCCACAAGACCACGGAGGCAGTCCCAAGAGAGAGGGCATGAACATCCCATTAAACTATTGAGACATGGTTTCTGAGAAGACATTTGTGTGAAGTCTGGACTCTACACCTGTGTATAGGGACAGCCATTTTGAATATTTCAAGCTGTCAAGTCAACTTTGTAGCAGGGGTGTGTGTAGAACTTGTGAATGTGAATGTCCTACAGATATATTAGATTGGAAGTTACTTGAATTCGGTGCTCATGGAAAGACACATGTAATGATGTTAATGGCCTTAGAGAAACCATTTGGAAACCCAGTCTTATCAAAATCAAATCTTCTACTTTGAAACACCACTCTGTGCACTTTGTTGTTTAACACTGTAATCAGCAATGTTCCAGCTATTTGACAACAGCCGGTATATTATGGGCCAGATAATACTGTGATTATGATCAATGATCCATGGTATAGGCAGATCAAGGGGGTTTCAGGGGGTCCCCTCCCTCTTGAAAACCAAATGCATGTTTTAGGCAGTGAAATTGACAGAGGATTTTGTTACTTTGGACCCTCCCTTTTAAAAATGCTGGATCCAGCCCTGCATGGCATCACGGTACGGCAATCATCCAAGGTAGTGCCTGACCACCCGATTCATTGGGTCACCTTTTCACATCCAGCATGGTGGCACGGGTGGCCCAGTCGTCTAAGGTGCCGTGGTTCGCCGTGCAGAGTTGCGTCTCTTGGGCACTCAAGAAACCTATGATTGTGGGTTCGAATCCCTGTTCGACCTGCTTATGTTTCTCGGGTTGTCAGCACCATACCCGTGCTCGTGGGTTTCACCGAAGTGGTAAACGTCTGAGACCTGCATCACTTCGGGCTTTCCTCCCACATTAAGCTGACACGCCGTGATATAACTGGAATACTGTTAAAAGCGGCGTTAAACCCAACTCACTCACTCACTCACCAGCACGGGATGCTGGGGACCAGGAATGCCCACTGGGTAGGAATAGTTACTGATTATCTGCCCCAAGTGATGCAATGGTGTAAGCCCCGAGCCTTTGGTGTGTTGCAGGTTGGTTGTTCTATATATAACTTGTCTTTTTTATGAAAGACAATAAAGAAAACGTGTATGAACAATGGATGACATCACATCAGATGGTATTGGACTGCCTCCCTGTGTAGTGAATAGAACATCTCCCAGAGAGCAGAACATTGGTGGTTCCTACCAAAAGACATCAACAGATGGCACTTGTTTACCCTGTCTAGCACTCGTTGTGGGGATCGCTCGGTATTAAGGAATTAGAACAAGGACTGGTAGGCTTGGAGTCTGTATTGTGTGCCCGAGTGGGGTAGGGCAGTGGGGTAGCCAAGTGGTTAAAGTGTTCGCTCATCAACTAGAAGACCCGGGTTCGATTCCCCACATGGGTACAATGTGTGAGAGCCCATTACAGGGGTCCCCCGCCATGATATTGCTGGAATATTGCTAAAAGAATGTAAAACCATACTCATGCACTCTGAGTGGTGTAACCATAGACTGTGGCATGGTGGTCTAGCTCAAATTGGCCTAAGAACGGTCAAGTACAAGCAGACACACACGTACATTTGTGTGAAAATGTTATGTACAGGTCAATAAACCCAATATCACCTCAGCCATAGCATATTATCAACAAAGAAGCAATGTCACTTGAACTGTGTTACCATGCTTGTTGATTAAACTGGGCATCATGTGATACATTGTGTCTAAAGAGATGGCCAGGCTGTGACTTGGTTGATTGCCTGAAGGTTTCAAGTTATTGGTTTGTCTGGTCCAGAATTAATTTTGACAAGCCTCCATGCCAACCGTAGAACTCATCGCCCAGCTATCTCTTGTTAAATTTTAAAACAAAATTCTATGCCAAACATGTTTTTCTTGATAGGGTATTTACCAATTTGTTGCCAATTATCCATAATCTGTTTATCCTGTTCAACCAGTGTTCATAGTTTATGTTCATAGATTTTTCCTATAAATGTAAACAAAGATTCTTGAAGTTCTCGGCATGGTTCATGTGACATAAGATGACCTTGAACGAAAATCATCCCGACATACATACGAGCTGCATTAAGGAAGTTTTTAGTTAATTCCAGGTTGCAAAAACAGCAAGAATGCCACCATGGAATGCAGCCACACATATTAAAAAGCTCTTTTTTTCCCCAGGTGTTATGGGGTTTAACGCAAATTTCAAGATTATATCACTTGCATGACGTGCCTTTCTCCACAAAGGTTGTACATGCTGCAACATGGACCCAAAGTCAACAACATATGCAGAACTGTCAACTTGTTTGTTTGCTTAATGCCTCACCAAGCACCATTCAAGCCTGTAAATAACTGAGTCTGGACCAGAGAAACCATTGGTTGATATTATTATGAGTTAGATACCAGGTCATCAGGCTATATCGCATAATAAGCCAAGTCAGAGCATGTCTGACTTATCCAAATGACCTATTCTAACCAAGTACACCTCAATCTAAGCTTGTCAAATAGCAAAAAACATCAATACAAATATGCAAGAAATAGGTTTTATTCACCATCTTAGCTACGAACATTGTGCAGAACTGCAAGTGCATACTGATATTCTGCACCAAACATCCTGCTGTGACGGCGCTGTGGCCCACTTATACACACATCTTCATCAACTGATGACCCTGCACTGCTGGGGCAGGAAGACTCATCAGAACAAAATCAACAGAGCTGGTACGATTCACCCATTCACCATGAAACTCTAGTCATGAAACAGTACGGACCATAACACTGGTTAACCTACTGATTTATCAAAATTCAGCATCGAGATTTGAATTTGATTGTAGTCAAGAAGGTCAGGGTTCAAACAGATGGCATACTTTGTCAATGCTCAACGATACTGTTCACCCAGTTCAATGGAACTCATTTGTAGGTCTGCTTAAGTGAGTTTGTAAATTAGCAGTTTTGGTGTGAATCTAGGAGGATTAGTCATTATTCTCACAATCTATTTACAACAAATGACTGCTAGCATCATGATCGGTAGACGCATCAGATACACAAAGTGACGTGTGCCCTTGAGATTGAAGCAGTTGGAAATATATGTCAATGCATCGGATGAGTATTTATTTTAATATATCATTAAGTGACACACAAGTTTGTGTGATTTGCTAATAAATATTGAAAGATCAAGTGTTACGAGTCATAAGATGATTGATAAATCGAGCAATTAGGTAACACCTGACCACCATGAACTATGTCTTGTAGTGCAAATGTCTCATGTTATAACAAAACACTAAGCTGCAAACAAATTAAGTCCTACAGTTTTGAGGAAACGGACCATGCAAAATTGTCCCCCAGCAATCATGGTAACAACACAAACTGGCTTCTTCCTGCACAACGTGACTGTGATTCATATACTGACAAGTCCGAGACGCAGATGGGAGGTTTAGACTGGTAAGAAAAGGAACTGTCCTCTGTTGAAATTGTTATACTGCCAGAACACTAAGGTGACCATTTACATGACTTCTAAGTTCTCATCATGGGCCATGTGGTTGGGCTGGCTTATCTGCAGCCATTGCTGGACAACCTAAACTTAAATGATTGCTGCAGTGACTCTTTTAGGATAACACCACGTTACCACAGAAAGTCCAACCGTTCCAGTCACACAATGCTCTTATGAAGAGGTTTTTACAGAAGTGCCTGTGAATATAGTTCTACAGCATACTCATCAACATGTCTGTACATAGTTCAAGGCTTTGTTAGCTCATAAATTATCAAATTGAATATTTGTATTAAAGAGCAAGCACTTATTGATTATGACACCCAAATCTATGGCATAATGATACATTAAAAGCTAATGTCGTCGTCACGAGGGCTATACATTGCATGACGCCTGGCCAGGCAGTTCTGCTATATACTGCTGAGAATGTTGCAAATCCTTGTGAGGGTCACATATGGCTACATCACAGCCCAGGTCAAACCCAGCAATGACCCTAGCAATACCATCAATACAAAATTGGTTCCACTCAGTTTGAATGTGCTAAATCAAGCCAGTGCCTGAAGAGCCACTAGTGTAATCAACTAAAACAAGATTACTGATCAGATGGTACTATCAATCAAAGATACCATAAACCAAATATCACCATTTTCTTAACTTAACAAACACGTCTTTGTTTTGTAAAATAATATAAGCAGTATGAATACGATAGATAAGATGTGATGCCTTGAAGTACCAGAATAAGCTCACATATATCACCGGAAAAACCTTGCTACAACGTGACATTTAACTAAAATGTCTCAACTTACATGAATTATAAGTGAAATAAATACATAACTCGAAAATGAAAGAAACCAAAAAAAAAAAGGATTTCTGGATGAGTCTATCATCAGTGAATCTATTTCCATCAATAGTTTTCATTACCAGAGTGAATTTGCAAAATTAAATCCTTTACTGATACATATAAGTCATCCTTTATGTATCACAAACTTCCATTATTCAAGTGAATCGCCCCAGCTCCAAATCATAAGAAATCCGGACCGGTAGCCCCGATAAGTTGGGAGTCCAACATTGCTTATTAAACATATCACCAAATGCCGGCAGGAACAGTGGCCACAAACACAGCATAAATAACATATTCACTGTGATAGTGTCATATACAGGCTTGTACAACAGGAGTCACTGTAGAGGGTGGTTCCCTGCTTCCGGTCCCAGGACACAAGGTGAACTGAACACAACAACGGAATCGTGTGATCAGAAATTAATGAATTTACAGACGGTTACTGTCCCAGAGTATGGCCAAGTCCACTACAGTTATTACGGTGAGTTCACTATGAAAGCATGATTTGACAAAGGACAATGAGTGATGGTGCAGGGTACATGATATTCATCAGCCGAGTTTCCAGTCATCCTGTGGTACCCTGTCAGTGATATATATATATCTTGAGAATAACTACAAATGACGATGTCTGTTTTAAGCAGCAAGTAATTTCAACACACACACACTTCCATGATTATTAGTGCTACGTCACAACAGAATTATATCTGAATGGAATTTTTCTACAAATTGCAGACAATCTGCCTTTAGTCATAAACTTCTTCGAAGTTATTGTCACTGATTCATGATTGATGTTACTGATTTGTCTTGTTGTTTGTTCTGAGAACAGCTTCTATCAATAAATAACGTATCATCTTCATGATTTCCATGACATGGCTCCTCCTCGAGGTATGAGGTCCAGCAAATATTGTCGTTGTAGGTCCGAAGGTTTGGTGAATGGGATCTGGTATGGGAAAGGTCCGCGGTGTCCAAAGGGTTGTAGTCCGAGAGGTTGTCCTGCTCTTAGCTGGGCTTGATGAGCCTGGATGAAATTTTGGTGTTGTCGCAACTGCTCCTGACTAGGCTTGTAGGAGGGTGTGAGGTTCATTGGTGAGTTTGTGGAGAGACCCATGGCAGAACTGGACACTAGACCAAGAGGTGTTGTAGACACGGGGGTTGAGGCAGTGGTGGTTGTGCTTGACCTCGGTGTCGGGGGCTCATTCACACTCTGAGCCTGCATCCGCTCGATCTCCTGTTCCTGTTGCAGAGCCTTAACAAAGGCACTCTTCAAACGATTTGTGTGTTCCTGCTTCAACGCCTTCTTCTGGTTTGATGTAACACAGTGTTCACAGATAACGTTTTTAGAACCTGGCTTCTCTCTTTTCCAGACTGGAGTGAAGTCGGAGTTACACTGCACACACGAGAAGGGGTTACACACAAATTTCTCATCAGGGTTCTTCTCTCCCCGGGCAATCAGCTGAGAATCAATGATGTAATTAACCACTTCTTCTAAACCCAGCAACAAAACAAAATCAGGGCAGGACAGGCTGGGAATGAAGTTCATCTCTGGTGGTGGTGGTTTGGGTGGTGGTATCTGTAGCAATGTCTTCTCTAGCTGTTTGCGTAGAGCCAGTTTGGCTGCTGCCTGTCTCTGAGCTGGTGTCTGCACCTCCTCCTGCTGTTGTTGCTGTTGCTGCTGCTGTTGTTGTTGTTGCTGCTGCTGCTCCCTCTGTCTATGGGCCTGCTGCTGCGACATGCTACGGAACCCAGAAATCAGACTTGGAGGAGTTCCTCCAGGCACCATGCCTCCTCTCATGCCGTGAGTCATCAGGTGACTGTGACTGTTGCCCATTCTTGGAGCCATGACTAAAGGTGGTGGTCCATGCATCTGGGAGCGAGAGGACTGCGAAATTTGTTGTCCCCTCATTGGTGGCCCATGACCATTGTGTGGTACCATCTTGGAGGAAGAACTCTGCTGTCCGCCCCTGACTAGAGGTGGTGGTCCACTATTGCTCTGTCTGCTAGAGCTAGGAGGCTTTGTACGTTCTGGTGGATGATCTTGAAGCTGATGGGACAGTTGGCTTTGTCTCAATTTCTTCAGTAGGACCAGTTTAGCTTCTTCATTGCGAAGTTCACCCTGCAGTCTTTTAATAAGCCTGCGTCTGTGTCTTAGTTCCTCTTCAGTTGGTTCTTTAAATACTATTCCATTTGGCATTTTAGCATCCTCATCTTCATCATCAGACAATGTAATAATATCTGACCCACTTTTCTTTGGTGCAGTCAAATCTACAGGGTTCTCCGGTATCCTAATATTTTCTTTCTCACTATCATCTGATTTCACCGTGGAGGCATCATCATTCCCATTTTGTGCTGGAGAATCAGTGTATCTTTGTTCCTCCGAATGTTTCACAGAATTAGTCACTTTAACTGTTAAATCTTCCACAACTTCCTTACTTGGCGCCTCCTTCGATGGCCCACCATCATCTTCATTCGTAGCACTGCTTTTCTCCTGTGTGTCATGTGTGGATGTCTTTTCATCCTTCACATCGTCTTCTTTCTTTGGCCCAGTCATGTCATCATCAGACACTGATTGAGGACTTTCAGTTTTGACAATATCTTTGTCTTTTGATGATTCTTCATCGGGATTTACAGCTTTGTTAGCATTGGCAGGTTCTGCTTCATCTTTTGCGTTGGTAGCAACATCCGTGTCTTCATCAAGCGGTACTGACGTCTCTCCAGCAGGAGTTACCACTTCTTCATCGGGATTTTCTGATATATCTTCCTTCTTGGGGTCGCCAATACTTCCTACTGCCTCTGTAGAATCTGTATCCTCCAATCTGGCCCTGAAAAACAAGAAACACAACCACATAAATTCCTGGTAAGAATATACATCCCCAGTTACATAAACCTGTCGTAAGGGGAGACCAACTGGATCAGGGGGTAAAGTTCAGTGACTTGGGTTTTGGTCCAGACTCGATTATTCACATCATATAGATGGAGTATTGCTGATTTCAGCATTAGTCCACAAACAATTTAACTGAACAGAAACCCCATTCAAAAGAAAGCATATACAATGTTCAGGCTAGTAGCCTTAAAAGTTTTTGGGTACAGACTGATAACATCATTGGTGTAAGAAGCCTGCTTTTCCAGGTCACTGCTTAAGTACAGACCTTGACACAATGTGGTATAGGGCACATAGGGTACACCAAGCATGTAAAGTGTAAAACCTTATTCAATTTCTCACGTATTCAAATACCTAATTTCAGATAGTTGCAGTGGAGAAAAGTATGCATCAAACTAGTGTTCACAACTTCTTAGAAGACTTCTGTATAAACGCTAAAAGTTTTGAAAACTGATATTGGCTGCCGAAACTGAAAACCTGACCTTTGTGAAGCCGGCTACACAGAGAACATAAGCTGGAAACATAACTCTCACATGCCTCATGTTATGGGAGTGAGTGGGTGAATCAGTAAAGCAATATTCCCTCCATGTAGGATACTATCACTGCACTCTGTAACAAATCAAGTCTGGTTGACTCTGATGGCATGAGCAACAATCCATATGTTTGGGGGACCATGCCATGGACTCAGCCAGGTCACCCTTACATATTTCTCTCAATCAGCGTGGGCACGTAAGAGCTACCCTGCCTCTGAATCTCCCCAGTGGTACTGGTGGGAGATGCTGACAACAGATACAATTCACCGACTGTAGAAACCTGAAGAAATATATGGGGTCTTGTGATGTGCAACAATATTTACAAATATTTATTTGGCAGCTAAAATCTAATTTTGTCCATCACCCTTTGGTGTGTTCCATGAGCTACTTGACAATCTACCCGTCAAGATCTGGGTACAGAATAGGCCTTCAGCAACCCATGCTTGTTCCTCAGAATGTTACACGGAATTCTTGTCTTAAGATCGGGATCAGGTGGTCAGGCTTGGTGACTTTGTTGACGCATGCCATCCCAGTTGCATAGATCAATGCTCATAATGTCAATCACTGGATTATCCGGTCAAAACTTGATTATTTACAGACTGCTGTCATATAGTTTGAATACCGCTGATACAGGTCCCTCTATATATAAGTGAATGACAGAAAATATCTCTTTTACTTTGAGCTATTCAACACCACTGAAACTTAGTTAATTACAATATGCACTGCATTTTGGAAAAGACAATATCATAAGCAGATGTTAAAATTAAACATGAAAACCAAAGAGTCCTCATCATAACACCAATGTTAAAAGTTCAAAATGTGGCATGTTTAGGCAGGATTAGAAATTAACACCAGCCTGCTAGCCTGGGGCTAGTACAATTTTTTCAATTTCCTCATTTTTTAACGTTCCAAGGGCATTTTATCTTTACCTGGGATTTTTAGGCATGCTTAGGGGCCCCAAGATGTAAAACACAAAAGCAGCTGATCAAAGCTCAAGGACTTCAGTTTCCCTATTTACTTTCAAACACAGCCGACCATGCATCATATCTTGACTTTCTCTATTACTACAACACTAGTTGTTACAGTTCAGACATTATTGGTGAAATCCTTGTTCTGATGTTTACTGCAACTGAATGTGTCAGCATCATTACCATGATTACTGACATGGACCTACATAACAAATGTATGTACAGATTCTGAGAGAACAAACCTCTTCTCTGGCATCTCTTCCTCATCCTCATCGTCCTCATCGTCCGGCGATGATCGCTTCCGACTTGTCTCCACAACGGCTACGTCCTCCTCTTTCACATCATCATCAGGGACGCAGGCCTCAGCCTCCCCACTGTCACAGAAAACATGTCATCAGTGTGACTATAGATCAAACATGTGCCCATCTCTGAACTGCACAATGATTGTCACATCTTGTAGAATGGTCAAAGACTTCTTTGCACGACTGACCTACATCTACCACTGCATGGACATAACATTGACATTATCATTGAGATAAATGAAGAGTAAAATCTGGCCCAAAAACTTTTATTCTATTAGCATACGTTTGTTTTTCAGCATCATTTTCAGCACATTTTAGTGTCAATACATGGGGTAGAATAACCAAAGCATAACAGCTTAAAAGGTTAACTAGATGCAGGCTTCGGATGAGGCGCTTCTGTGTAGAGATGTCCCTTTTCAGAGGCATGTTAGACATAGGTGATCTTGGCACGATAACAGCAACAAATCTCATACTTCATCATTTCTTTGCTCTATCTCAAATTCAATTCAAAATTACAATTAACAAAAAGCTAAAGTGTTTTCAAATTCAAATGGGTAAGACTTCTGTCTGTATCCTCCCTCAAAAATACATATAGTTGGAAGAAACATGTTATATGTAAATATATATAACATTTGGAGGGGATACGGGAAGTCTTTCCATATTCCAATCAGGGCAGCTTATCATGCATGCTGCAGTAGAAGACAGCAGGTGGAATTATTTCAGAGACCATCTGTGAGGATGTATACTCTGTATTTGGTATGTCTCCATCAATACATGAAAGAAGATAACAGCCAAACATAGCACTTACGTTTCATCAGCATTCTTAGTTTCATCAGGTGTACTTGCATCCATGGCCTGCAAGGATAACATTAACACAATAAGACACTGATTATCATGACCATGCAATGGACATATCAGCCACTAAGGCTAACTCAGGTAACTGCATGCATTCTAAAATGTTGCAACAATTTAAGTATTTTCCTATTTTGATTATAAGATATTGAAAAGTATACATGTACTGCATTAACAACTGTTAGAGATTAAATACCATCCCATGAATGTTGAGGTTTCTTGAAGTATATTAATCCAAGAACACCAAGATAATCTAAAATCTTGAGTCATGACAACCCCACTTATTCCTAAATTTAATAAACTCAGCAGCCTACAACTAACCAGTATGTAATTAGAAAATATCTACTATGTTAAAACAACAGTGTACAAAATGAAAATATAGAAATAAACTTGATTATATTGAAATTTAGTAAACACCAACAAAATCAAACAAAGAAATACATTGGTAGGGAAAAGGGAAAACCCCTCCCAACGTTTTATCATCTTTCATTCAAAATATAAATGCATCCTACAAATAAGATACATAAATCACAAGAATGAACATCGAGTTAGGGAATATTACAGTTAAAACTTTCACTTGATGTTGAAATAACATTATTATTCCATTACAAATGAACCTACTGGTCTAAGAATTTAGTGGTGTTTCCCTTCATATGCCGGTCATTGCTAAAAATAGAGAAATCCAGAACGAGGCTACTAACACCGTGACCTTTTCTAACACCGGAAAATTAACAGATTAATAAAATTAACTGATTTGGGTGAGGTGTCCTGTGCGATCATTGACCTATTCCATATTCTCAACCCATTCCTTGATGTCTTTACCACCTAAAAACAACGAATAGTTGTATATTTACCGGTAGTTATTGACATATATTTCACATATCAACACAAACATGCGCTGATCTTTTGTTGTGCAATGAATCAGATAAACGACCGGAACATTCGAGCAAGACGCGATCCTGGGCGATTCAAATCTAAACTTGTTCGAGTGCAATTCTGACTTAATAAGTAGTAAAATAAGTCGATAATATAGCAAAAATACGTCGATTTTCACGGGGGAATCTCCGTTCTAAGATTAGATTTCACACGTTATTCATAGCGCGGAATCCACCTTTCGGGCACTTGCTTCAAATCGGAAAGTAGGCCAAGCTTGGCATAGCTCAACTAAAATGGCGATATTGCAGTTAAGGAAGCATGTTGGGACTTCAGTGAAACATATCAACCATGAAAATAAGCTACAAGTCGAGTGGATTACAAATATACCCCAAACTGGTATGGGCCACTTACTCACCGTCACCGATCAGAACAATCCACTTCACGATGGGTAGACAGGGTAAAGTTTCAGTTTCCACGGAGCACTCGTGCCCGACCGTCTCCAATCGACCCGCGAATCACTGCACGGCGTGTTTCGCACGCCTCAAATATGTCTCCGAGAGCGTTAATGAGTACCTCCGGCGTCAATCCGCAATCAAATTCACCTCATTGTTCTTTTCTCTCCATCTTTCCTTTCAACATGGCTTCCTTCTGTTCATCTTCATGTATGGGGTTCTCCCCTGGCTCGGCACGGCGCAAACAAACAAATTGTTTACAGATAAACAATCTATAAATAGTGATTGGATTGAAAAGTCACGTGACCCTCAAGGAAACAAGCTACCGCGCATTATGTGACCACCGTCTGTTGACCTTGTTTCCAAAAATAGGCATCCCATTTTTCCATCATCTTGACAACTCGGCACCTCAAGTCATTGGCGTAACATTACATACGCGGGAAGGAAATCTGTGAAAAATTCGCACATTGATTCCTTTTCTCCTAAAATCGTTATTTCCGGCAAATCCATATTGAATAATTTATCGTGTGTCTACTGCCACTTATCTGCCATGTTTTACACAAATCTTCTTATATAATGTTGAGCACTTGTATCACAGTATTGATTTTGAGCACTTTGGGTCTTATGCATGGCGAAATGATATTGCGTGTCATGTTGAGTGTAGATATATGTACTGACATAATTTTATTTTCTAAGGAGCTGTCTGATATAAACCGATCGATTTAACAATTTAATGCGACCACCATTTAAGGAATTGTAACATTCCACTCTGTACCATTCACGATATCATCAGTTCAAATCCTTGCCTCGTGTGATATCCAACAAATCTTCATCTCACCACATGTTTTACTAAAGAATAGCCCTGTGGGGTATGCATGCTGTCAGGGTTAGAGTATAAACCCAAATAAATGGAATGCATATAAATATGACCCATGAAGATCCGGGGTAGAATAGGTCTTTAGCAACCCATGCTTGTCGTAAGAGGCGACTATATAACGGGATCGGGTAGTCTGGCTCGCTGACTTGGGTGATGCAAGTCATCGTATCCCAATTGCGTGAATCGATGCTCATGATTTCAATCACTGAATTGTCTGGTCCAGACGGGATTATTTACAGACCACCGTCATATAACTGGAGTGAGTGAGTGAACTGGAATATTGCTGAGTGCAGCGTTAAACAACAAACAAATAAAGCATATAGTTAGGTCGGATGTTTTCTGTTTATCAACTGTGTACAAACTTCAATAGAAATGCCGTTTAAGTCCAATTTAAGCCACTGTATGTTTACAAGTCCACTCTATCCTCAAAAGCGTGGCGTTCACAAGAGATTAAATGAGATAATTCTGAAAACAGGATCTCAAAACGAAATCGAGAACTGTATCAAGTGCAACTGCACGTTTCATAATCTGTCTTTCGACTCCAGGTCCGTGTGTTTAAATCTCGTCATGGTTATACATATATGGCCAGAGTATAACATTCTAGCTAACTCTCTAATACTCTGTAACGCCCTAACATGACTACTCTCCAACAGTCACTCAAACGCTGCATTATACCCACCCTAACACGAACAATAACACTCAAACGCTGCATTATACCCACCCTAACACGAACTATAACACTCAAACGCTGCATTATACCCACCCTAACACGAACTATAACACTCAAACGCTGCATTATACCCACCCTAACACGAACTATAACACTCAAACGCTGCATTATACCCACCCTAACACGAACTATAACGCCCAAACACGCCCGCTTCAACCCGGCACTGTACTAACGTGCTTTAACATGGCCTTTCTAACACTCTGACACTCCCCAACGCTCTAACATGGCCCCTCTAACTCTCTGACACTCCCCAACGCTCTAACATGGCCCCTCTAACACTCTGACACTCCCCAACGCTCTAACATGGCCCCTCTAACACTCTGACACTCCCCAACGCTCTAACATGGCCATTCTAACACTCTGACACTCCCCAACGCTCTAACATGGCCCCTCTAACACTCTGACGCTCCCCAACGCTCTAACATGGCCCCTCTAACCCTCTGACACTCCCCAACACTCTTACATGGCCGCTCTATAAGGCCCTATCACTAACTCTAAAACTAAGAACAAAATTAAGAGAACATTGCGAAATTTGTTTCAGATATTCATCTTCCTTTTAACATGTGAACATGCAAAAGACATATATAGATTGTTCACATATATATGCAGTGTGTATATGTATATAAGGAATATACTATAACCATCACACCATACATGCATGTATAATTCATGGAATTTAGACTCCTGGAACATGATCACTATATTGTTAACCTGTAACCAAAGACTACATTTTGTATAGCTAAATGTCATACCCCCCCCCCCCCCCCCCCCCCCCCCCCCCCCCTCTGAACGTTAGCAAATGGTGTATTACAATTTAATTAAAGTTTGCAGTTCACAGAATCATGCGTATTTATGCTCATCTAACTGTTACACTGGCATGGTGGGATTTGCCGAGATACATGTGGACATTTCAAAATGTGTATAGTTTTATGTTGAAAGGTATTGATTAATAGAAACATGCCATTTATAGGGCAGGCTCAAAGGGAAATTTGTTATTTGTCAACTTTATGTTTTTCCTTTATGTTGATCGTGTTATGTCTTTAATCGTTTCGTGGTGGACATCCAATGATGGTGCTCCCATGCTACTATCTGATGCACGCCTCCTTCTTACCCCCTGGTAACAACCAACAGATGCATTGCAGACAGACAGATGTCGTACCCCAGAGAAACCGACTGACTAATCGAGTCAACGTATACACGGTTATGTCAACTCGCGAAGTATTCACATATATACTGAACCGCAAAAGAAACGTCACCATGGATAGATATATGAGAAAACTTATTTGTCCAAACACTGTAAACATACTTTGCGACATATTAAAAAGATGAAACTTGGCAAAACTTACCATCAAGGTTGAAATTAAAGTGTCAAATGTTCTTAAAGTGAAACACAACACTAGTCTCTGAGAAAATGGCATCACAAGTCAGTGTCTCGTGTGTCCGCCATGTGCATTGATGACTGCCGTGCAACGTCGATACATGGAATGGATGAGGCGGTTGATGAAGGCCATAGGCACTTGCGCCCACACTCTGAGGAACGCCTGACAGCTCAGCTGCAGTTGCCGGACTTGGTCGGACGTCATTCAGCCGTCTTTGAATCTCGTCCCACAGGTGCTCAATGGGATTTAAATCGGGACTGAGGGCAGGCCATTGCATGATTCTGATGCCATTCTGTTGGAGGAAGTCTCTTGTTGCTCTCGCAGTGTGGGCACGGGCGTTATCATGCTGAAACTCGTAGTTGCGGCGACGTGCCAAATGAGGTATGGCGTGTGGTCTCAAGACTTGATCAATGTACCGAGCTGCTGTGACACCATTGACTTTCCCTGGACCGATGTTCTGGAAGACCACAGGGCCGACCCTCTGTGCAAGACCAATTCCATCCCACCACAATGCTCGGACCACCCCACGAGTCTCTCTCAACAACACAACCATTCGAATAACGTTCCCCACGGCGCCGCCAGACTCTCTCTCTCTGCCATCTGCTGTTGAGATACAGTAACGGCTCTTGTCTGAGAAGAGGATTCTTCTCCACTGCTGGTGGTGCAAATGCTGGTGCTGTGTTACCCAATGGAGACGGTCCAGGCGATGACGTGGTGTCAGAATGGGTCCTCGGTGTGGCCTGTGACAGTGGAGGTGTCTGCTCGTCAATGTGTCGCTGGTGTGTCCCTATGGTCTGTCGAGCAGTTTCCGCAGCAGTAACAAAGCGATCTTGAAGATGCTGTCGCGCAATCTGACTATCCTGACGTCGGGTGGCGTCCCTTGGTCTTCCACTACGTGGTCGGTCATCTGTAGTGTTGGTGGTCTGGTACCGTTGCTGGAGCCTGTATATGGTCCTAACATGGACTTGAAATGCATTAGCTACTTGCCGGGCGGTTTGTCCAGCTTGCAATCGTCCAAGGGCTTGGTGTCGCTGATTTCTTGTCAATCTTGGCATCTGGTAGCAATTCAATAACGAATGAATGTTATCCGATGTGGATGGATTTTTATAGGGGAAGGAATGGGGGAACGCATGTGCATTTCAATTTGCACGGAACGCACGTGCATCGGGTTACCATGGCCGTTGCCGTGATGCCTTTGGGCAGTCGGTCATACAGTTATTTGCTTTGTTTTTTTTATCATCAAATTTCACTTTCCGGACAAGGTAATGTTAAATTTTAGAAACTTTGACAAATATTACCCACGCATTTAAACGACAACTTTTCATGCAATGTTACTTGGGGTGACGTTTCTTTTGCGGTTCAGTATATATTTATCAACTTATCATGTGTGATACAGCCTAAATTTTACTCCCCGCAATATTTTATCTGTAACCATTGCAAGTATTTTGGAATGTTGCTATCTGTTTAAAAGTTATGACATATGTTACTAGAACAAACTAGATAGCACGATAGCGTGTACGACGTTAAAGGGAGTCTCCTTTGTCCAATTAAAGTCTAGACGTTGTAATTTGTGACAAGTGTTAAACTGAAACAGTGCCCCTGTTAAGGTGACCATTAATCGCAATTTTGATACACATAATGATATTTGAGCTTGCATGCTAACAAAGAAGTGTTGAAGGACCGTGCATCAAATTTGCAAGTATTATTAATTAATCTGAGCCTTGATCCATTTAATGAGAGATTATAAACAGCACGGTGTGGTGTCTATTTCAAGCCTACGACTGTATGTTGAAATAAGTGCATGTGCGAAAGTGGGACAGTGTGTGTATGTGTTGTCAGAATAATAAATATCTGCCCGATCTGCATTACACAGCAGATTGTATATATAATGAGACAAATAAGTGAGCGTCGATTGCAGCGAGTCAAATTTGCCGGGATGGCCATTCGTCCCGTGCCACCTCTTTGAAGGGCGTTTGTAGCGACCTTGAATGACGTCCTCGCTACCCCAAACCTTCAAAGTAGCTACCCCTACCTGCCTTTCCAACTGGGTACATGTCACAACACAGTAATGTATACGATTGAGCCTCATGTGTCTAAAGTAACCAGAACATGACCTTCATCAGTGTGTCCAGTCTGATTTTCCGTGTGCACATTATGTGAAGAAGTTAAAGAATGTTAAATAACATTTCACTCGCGCAGTTTGTTGTTTGTACAAACGATATATATTGGTATATATACCATACTCTAGACTTCATCATGT